GAATATTATCTTGTCTATGCATGGAGCCCAGGGAATACCCCCGTTTATAAAACAGAAATAATTGAACTTTTCAGTGGATGCTAGTACATGCAAACAACATCATTTAGGCAACTCAAATATAAACCTTGGAAGCAAAGTCTAGGAAGGCTGTGGTTGGCATATAGGACATTGGGAAGAAAGAAGGTTAGATGGGGTTTGCTTGACCCAGTCAAGGAGAAAACTGGAGATACAGGGGAAAAAATTGGCTGGAGAAGAAAATACAAAGATTGGAAAGAAAAGAGAAAAGAAGGGTGGGTTACAGTAAGGTAAGACCCTGCAGGATGAGGAGAGGACTTAGCAGTGATGAGAAGACTGTTGATCAAAGGAAGGACAGCCAACTCAGGGTTTCCAGAGGTACCTGGGAATGATTTTTTCTGGGTTAAGGGTGTGCCTGAAGAGCCAGTCTTCAGTGTCCTGAAGAATATTTACATATTTTCAAAATACCTCCCCACAAATTACTTATTAATGACAGAGGAGAAAAATAACTTTATATGAGGGAAATCTGTTGAGTTTACTTTCACCAATAATCTATTGGGTTGGACAGAAAGTTCATACAGTTTTTTTCTGTAAAATAAAAGACACATTTTTCCTTTTCACCAATAAGTTTGTTGATTTGGATATTTTGAGTATGTCAGCTATCTCCTGCATGGCATAACGTTGATCGTTGACTGTTCTTAATTAATGTCTCAATTTGATAGCTATCAACTTCAACTGGTTTATTGGACTATTGAGCATCATCCAGCAAGAAATCCACCATGAAACTTTGCAGGCTACTTTTGACACATTCAACCAGTCACAGCACCTTCTCTGTACACCGCACAAATCTTTTTTTGCATTTCAGTTATTTTTTACCTTTCTTGAAATAATAAAGCATAATATGTTGAAAATGTTGCATATTTTTTCCATCTTCAATATTAAAATGGCTACACAAAAATTCACCGATTTTGTTGTTGTTTTTTAAATGCACACTGATGTGACAGCTGTCACAATACAATCTAACAAAATTGTTTCAAGTAAAGTTAAAGACCACTAAGTGCTACTAGATCCATCGTACGGAAAAAAACAAACTTTTTGGCCAACCCAGTAAGTTCAGGCCACCAAAATTGGGACAAGCCAACATTATGTGCCTCTTATATGATGCATAGAGAAGGTTACAACATCACTTTTGCGGATTTCTGACACAACTGTGTAACAAGAATAATCATGAGGAAGCATGAGCTTACAAAGAATGATTCTACAAAATAAATGTCCTGTACTCCTTAGAAATGTCAAACTAAAGAAAAAAGAAAGGCTGAGAAACTGTTCCAGATGAAAGAAAGCTAAAGGAATATGACAAATAACTGATGTGTGATTCCAGATTGGATTTTGGTCAAAAAGAAAAAAGCAACAGAGGATATTATTGGGAGAACTAATGATTATTATGTATGGAATATGGATTAGATGATAGTATTGTATTAATATTACATTCTGATTTTGATAACTTTACTGTGGTTAAGAGAGACTTTTTTCTTAGAAAATATACACTTAACTATTTAATGGTAAAGAGACTCAATATATTCAGCCAGCTTATTCAAATGGTTTAGGAAAAAAAGAAATTATCTACCTATGGGGGAAAAAAATAAGCTATCTAGATAACTTTCCTTAATTTGAATAAGCTGACTGGATATATTGAGTCTCTTTATCATATGTAGATATACTTTAGATAGATAAAAAGATGATAGATAAGAGATGGTAAATGAAGCAAAATATATAGGGAAAGCATAGTTTCTTATATTATTCTCCCAACCTTTCTATACATTTGAATTTATATTAAATAGAAAGTTACCTCCTTCATAAATGTTCTGAGTAGTCAAGAGAGTTTTGAGTATTCAAAGACAGGGGTAAAGAGGTTGCACCCCAGTATCAATGTTTGTGGAGTTTTCCCACACTACCAAGCAATTCTTGAACACCCTGAATGTCCTACAATTCAATTCTGACACTATCTGGAGACAACATCAGACTGAACAGGTTAAGGGCTCAGTCCCAAAAGATCACACCTCCCCAACCCAATTCAGAGGCCAATCACAAGGTTATCTGTGCTTCTGACCAACTGGCTATAAATGAGAGGTTCCCATGACCCCTTTGTGGGTTCAATTAATTTGCTAGAGCAGCTCACAGGACCAGGAAACCAGTTTACTCACTAGATTACCAGTTTATTGCAAAAGATATTGAAGACTATAAATCCACAGCCAGATAAACAGGTATATAGTGCAAGGTCCCTAACCCTGTGGAGTTTGGGGCCCAGCAGCAAGTGGAAACACCTGGTTCACCAACCCAGGAGCTTTCTGAACCCTCTTTTTGAGATTTTGTGAATGTTTCAGTACATAGGTATGATTAAATCATTGGCCATTGGCAATCTATTCAACCTCCGGCCTCTTTCCCGTCCTGGGAAATCTTTGTTCTCACCCTCTATAATCAATCACATGGTTGGTTCCTCTGGCAACCGACCCCATCCTTAGGTGATTTACAGAAGTCGCCTTACTAACATAAACCTGGTTGTGGTGGGAAGGGACTTGTCATGAATAACAAGACTCTATTTCACCTTTATGGCTCTGAAATATTTTCAGGAACTAAGGACAAGAAACCAAACATGCTCTCATTGCTCATGTAGTTCAGGGAATTCCAAGGGCTTGGGAAGCTGTGAGCCAGGAATAATGGATGACAAATTCTGTATGAAAAAAATATTTTTGTCATCTTTTTGACCAAATACATTTTTCTTAAAAATCACAGTATCACAGGGATTTAGCTTGCATAAGAGCTGGAGCAAGGGCAAAATGAAACAGAGCCAATACCTGGTAAGCTCGGCACTTAAAGCTGGTTAAGGTGGGCTACGTGGTTGGCCCACATCCCAGAAACTGCCCTGCCTATTAGCTTCTTGTATTCTGGTTTTCACACTGTCCCAAAGTATTGTCTGTGCATGGCAGAGCTGGAGCTTCACCCAGGTGCTATGACTGCAGAGCACGAGACTCTTATGCATGTCTGTACCATTTTCCCGATCTCCTTAGAATCACACACCTCCCTACTAATGAAAAATAAACGTGTGGCATCAATTGTTCCCAGAGAAGCTGTTAATTCATTTGTCAGGACCCGCAAAACAGAGGCCACCCCAGTGGCCCATCCCACATCACCCATCTAAACCTGCATCAGCTTGCACTTATGGGGATCACCTGCCAAGGAAACCTAACGCACACCAATCACAATCCTCCAACTCAGCTTTAGCTTGCTCACCTTACCCTAGAAAGTAGGACTGGCTGGCCTTCTGTAGAAATTCCCAGCCTCCTAGCCAATCATGCCGTTTCTCTGTTCCCTCTTCTAACATTATAAATTCACTCTTGCCCAAACGTCCTTGGGGAAGGGAACTCCATACTGCGAGACCCTGTGTCTCTCCAATCCATAGATTGGTTTTCCTTGAATAAAGGACATCAAACTTGTTACTAAATTGTTTGTTTTGCCATTTGACCATTTCTGTCAATCCTGTGTTGTTTTTTCAGTTGTCAATTTTTATCTCTCCGAATTGTTCTTGGGCTCAAGTGTCTGCATTTCAGCTTTTACACAGCCTCCTTTGAAATCTGGGCAGAGCAGTGAGTTTGTCGGGTTGCCAGGCTGGTTTCTCTCTTGCCTTCCCGTGCTCACCTCACCGGGAATGTCGAGGGGGCCAGAGCATGTATTTGATTTCTTAGGAACTTCCCCCCGCATTTCAGTCATTAGTCCCTATTACAGTACCCCTGTTAGGGTCACTGGAAATGCTATATTTCCAAAGCAATTCCATTATAGACACCTCTCAGACAAGTGAATACTTTTTTCCAATGTTTCACTCAATTTAACATCTATTTGTCTTTCCTGACTGGTTAACACTTAAATACTCTTCAGAGAAATTAAACAATTAGTCAGCAAGTCCAGGGTTTATCAGGATCTCGGGCAGCTGACCTTGACGTTCAGTTGATGAGATAGTCCGAGCCCCATCACTGTCTCATGCACCTCATTGCCAGTCACATGTAGGTACCCAGATGGCATCCACCCCAATAGCTGGACTTTGCTCCTTCATCAATATTCCTTTCAGCCTTCTCTCCTTATATTTGCAGCTAAATTTTCTCCACAGTGTTTCTACCTTCAGGTTTTACCTACCAATTCAACTTGCCAAAATAGTGCATAAGTTTCCATTCCTTCTATTTAATACATGTCTTCTAATCCAGGTAAATGCTTTTATTATCTAGGTACCAGTCACAAATCCCACTCCAAGCCTTAGTAATACCGTAACATTGTATTTATGTTGCCCTTTTCAACTTAAACATGTTTCTTCCCAGTCCCTGTGCATGGGTTTCCACAGAGAGACTTTAAATTTTGAGTATTCCTTCCAAATTATTATTTTTTCATTCTTCTTGGCTGACAATTATTAGTGACTTCCTACACCTCGTGTCTTCTCCCAGTCACCCTTGTTGACCTTCACAGTAGGAGGCTCTCCGTTTTTATCTGAGTTTTTCTTTCTTCTCCTCTCAAGTAGCTCGAGTCCTCCAAATCAAGTTAATGAACTGTCTGTGGCCCCGGCTCCTCTGACATCAGATCCCTGGGGAGAAGCTCACTGCTCTGGTACCTTACACTAAGATGCACTGTAGACGTACCTGAGCCTGGGGCTTGATGACGGTGAAAACGCAGCACGGGCTCTGCGGCACGCAGCCACGTGGCCACGTTTCCTCCCACGCGAGGGAACGCCTCCTCTTCTACCCCAGGGGAAGGCTATAGAAACAGATGGCCTGTCTTGGAGGCCACCCGGCACTCAGAATTTCTTGTTTGGAATTACATTTTTTAGGAGTGAGGAAAAAAATACAGCAAAACATCTAAAGCTCTGAAAATGTAAAGCTCTGATAATGGTCATGTTATTGTTTGCAGCACAATTTATTATCTGGGCATTGTTTGGGGTACATTAATAGGTACTGATTTAACATCATTGTGACCACTCTTGAGACAGAGCAACCCAAAAGAAAACTTCAAAATGTGCAAAAGCAATAAATATCAAACTTTCTGATCTAAAACGTATAAATATAAAATATTAGTCATTTCCGGAAACATCTTAAGAAAATCCAGCAACCAACGTCCATGGGCAGGTGTCTGGTATTGATGGTGCTAATAATCTTCAGAACATATCACCTCAGATCCAGCACAATTATTTTTATGTCTTTTACCAACACATGTTTGCATACCTAGGAAAGAAAACAATTGGCCTTAGAATTAGGTCATATGTTTACCAGAATTATCTTTAGGGAGGGAATAGTAATTTTCTAATTTAAAAATGCTCCTAATATTAAAAGATTTTCAATCAGAACAAATCAAACATGTTTATTCATACTCAATAATAAAAAATTATCTACAGAGGTTGCCAAATAATTTTCAGATTAAATAAATACTAACTTCAAAATAATGTTTCTCAGATGTTACAGCCAGAGAACTACCAGGGAATCAGTTAGAAAGAAAGGCTGCAGTCAAATAATATTTCTTTTGGGCTAATCAAGAAGTATGACCAGTTTTTGTGTAATCATTTTTGTGGTCACATTAGGCAGAAATCATTCACGAGACACGTAAATCATTTTATTCAATAATTGCTTGCTTATTTGGGGCCTAAAGAAAACTGTATTTAAGTATCACACAAATACATAAATGGAAAGGGAGCTTAACTGTTCTACAAAAATTTGACATTCTCTTGTTAATAAAATATAGTCAGAATAAATTACAAAGAATGATTTTTCTGGATAAGAAAACTCCACACTAAGCAGTCTAGTGTTTTATCCCATATTATACTGTTAAAAAAAGGCGGGGGGAGTAAAAAAAAATCTGAAAAAGATAACTAATGGTGTTTACTCACACTGAACAGCCTTGGTTCCTTGGTGTGTGGATGAAAGCCTTTCTTTTTACATGCGGAGACCTCAAGCATGCCGGCGTTGGTGAGCCTGAAGATGCCAGTGCTAAGTTTCAGGGAGAAATAAAGGCAAAAAAATTAAGGATTGTTTGGGCCTCCCAGATGCTTTATTTGAATGGCATAAGCATACAGATTCCTCAAGTGGGATGGAGGAAGACACCACCAACTAGGAATGCCATAGTGATTTTTTGAACCAATCGTACAACATCTGGTCTAGAGGACAGAAACACTGGAGGGGCCAGTGTTAACTCCAAGCACCTGCAGGATTGTATGAGACCACAGAGGAAAAGGTGAGGCCCCATGGAGGAAATTACAGGTGGCAGAAAATCGTAATTGTTCTAACAATGGTAGCAGTAGTGATAGCAACAGCAGGTACTTAGGGAGTGCCGGTTGTGGTGCCCGGCACTGTGCTAAGCCCTTTACACACCCTGTCATCTCTAGTGTCATCCTCACATCAATTGGCGACGGGCAAGTATCAGGGATAAAGAAGCTGAGCTCACAGTGGGCAGGTGTCCTGCTAAACACACCACTTGAGGGCGGAGACAGGATTCCTATACAAGTTTATATGAGTCCTCTGCTTATAATCATGCTACAATAATCATTGTCTCCCAACCTAGAAAGGTTTTGGTGGTAATTAAACTAAGGCTGGAAATTTTCCTACAACAGGAAATAATACAGCAGAACTGAAATCTCAAATGGCAACCTGGAATAACATCCAGTTTATCCACTTCAAGGTCATGTTAACTGAAGAAAGAGAACCAGTAATTCTACCATTGAAAGGACCTTGAAAAGTAAGACTGTAAAGCTACAGGTACAAGGGAGCCGGCTGTCACCCATCTTTTTTCCCCAGGGGCGTGGCGTGCCTGTTTATTCAAGAGCCGCACAACCTGATGCGTGAACGCTTGAACACTTGGCCTCAGACAAAGCCTTACTCGAGCCCTCAGTAGTCACACTTACTCTTTATGCTTCGGTGAACACACAATGGCAATCGCCTCTGGCAACATGAGCTGATAGGAACAGTGAGTATGAAGATCAACACTGGATAAGAAGGCGGTTTGGGTTGGATGCGTCTATAAAAAGAAAAGAGGACAAGCTTATTGGGGTAGCTGAGTCTTAGCCAAGGCCCAGAGCATTCTGAAAGAAAACTCTAGTTACTTGCTTTTACTTTTTTACCATCATTAATCAAATATGAAGTTTTAAAAATGTCTTGCTGACATATACTGTGCCTTTTTGCATCTTTGGAATAACTATGACTTTGAGATGGGGTTCTTGGGAGTGTTCATGTCCTTTCTGCTTATGGGGAAAGACAGAACTGGAAATTATTTTGCCAGAGGCTTTGAATAGATTTTTAGTTAATCATTAATTTATCTAAGAGATGGCTATATTATGATCTCAATTTTATATACAAAGATCCTGAGGTTTCTTTCAATAGTTTGCCTATGGTCACTCAGCTGGTCAAGAGCAGAGCTGCGACTGGATACCCAGAGATACTTTATCTCTGGTTTATACAAAACCATGGACACAGAAGGAAACCTTTCACTATATTTACCACATGGTACTATGTATCCATTTGTGGATCATCCTTCCCTACCAATGGGAGAATGGAAATCTCCAAGTTGTTAAAGGTGTTTGGGACTCATGCACAGCCAGTAAGTATACACATCATGAGAAGGAAGAGATTATAAATCAAAAGAATTATCTTCCAGGTTTGGGGCTATAGACACACGTATTATGAGAGACAAGTGTGCAGTTCATACTTGGATATCAGAAATACACACACCCATAATGACGCTAAAATTCACAGTCAATGCTAATTAGCCTTGCAAAAGGAATGAGACCACTTCAATCATGAAACCAAGGTCCTTTGCATGCAACATTGCAGCCCTGCCTCCATCACTCACCAGGTGTATAACACTGTGAAGATTCCTTAACCTCCTCATGCCCTTTTCATCAGCTATAAAATAGGGATAATCGTTTTATTCATGGGATTATGAAAATTAAATGAGATATCCACGTAAAATGCTTAGAACAGTGCCTAGCGTATAGAAAGGAATCGAAACCATTTGCTGTTATTATTGCTATTTGAATGTTGTCATATCTAATGGGCATGGGCTCAAAGAAATAGCTTCGTGCCATTATGTATAACTATGGACTGTTCAAGAAATGTAAGATTTTAAAACTCCTTTCTACTCTATTGACTGGAATGAAGATAAATCCACTGATATCTATTTACAGAAAGATATATGTTCTGCAGGGAAAAAGTAACTCTTGGTCTGCAAAGACCTAGGTCAACTGAGGAATGGAAATTATATAATTTTTATTTTTATTTATTTTTAAAATTTTAAATCATGTTTATTCTACTACAGTTGTCTCAGTTTCCCCCCCTTAACCCCCCTTCACCCATCCCACCTCCACCACCTGCTCCCACGGTCAATTCCCACTCTGTTGTCCATGTCCATGGGTCATTCATACTCGTTCTTGGTCTAGTCCCTTCTCCTTCTTTCCACCATTGTCCTCTTTCCCCATCCCCTCTGATCACTTTCAGTCTGCTCCATGTTTCTGTGCCTGTGGTTTATTTTGTTTGTTAGTTTATTTTGTTGAATAGATTCCACTTATAGGTGAGATCATATGGTATTTCTCTTTCACCAACTGGCTTATTTCACTTAGCATATTTTCCAATTCTACCCATGTTGTGGCAAAAGGTAGGAGTTCTTTCTTTCTTCCTTCCTTTCTCTCTCTCTCTCTTTCTTTCTTTTCTTTCTTTCTTTCCTCTTTCCTTCTTTCTTTTTAAATGCAGATTGACTTTATTTTTTTAAATGTCAAAGTTAATTATAAAATATTAAAAAATGTAAAACCATTATAAAGTCCCAGCAATTAAAACAACATGACACCAGCACAGAAATAATCAAGTAGATCAATGAAATATAATGAGAATTCTAGACACAAATGTATACATCTAACAATGTAATATATGATTAAATTGATATTTCAAATCAATGGGTAAAATAAGGCTTATTTAACAAATAAAGTGCATGGACCCCTATTACTTGAAATAAAAAAAAAAATAGAGCCCTATTTCACACATTATACAAGAAATATTCAGGTGAGTTAAAAACCAATATGTAGAATCTAAGGAGTTTTAGGAGAAAACACAACCTAATATTTTTCTTACCCTGAAGTAAAATATTCAAAACCAGAAGCTATAAAGTAAAATATTGACAATATAACTGTATTAAACCTTTAAGACTATGTAGTAATATACATATAAAAAAAGTTAAAGGACAAGTAATAGAATAGGAAAGTATTTGACACACATCTAAAAAAGGGTTAATAGTTGTTTTGTTTTTTAAGGGAAAAAATATCCTATAAACCTTTAATCGATAAATGGATAAAGAATACCGTAGTCATTTAAAGCTTTTTAAAAATAATAGAAATAGGCAAGAAATATACAAAAACAGGTTTAGTTTCAACAAATAATAAAAGGACAATTAAAATAACACATCATTGTCAGATTAATTCATATTAAAAAATATTGATTATATCAAGTATTGGTAACTGTGAAAGGAACTGGGTATCCATAGACTCTTTTCCTTCATCTTAAAGCAGTCCCTTTAGCATATTTTGCAGTGCTGGTTTGGTGAAGGTGTATTCTTTTAGCCTTCTTTTGTCTGGGAAACTCCTTATTTCACTTTCCATTTTAGTTGAGAGCCTTGCTGGATAGAGCAGTCTTGGTTGCAGGCCTTTGTTTTTCATTACTTGGAATATTTCTTGCTACTCCCTTCTGGCTTGCAGTGTTTCTGTTGAGAAGTCAACTGCTAGCCATATTGGGGCTCCCTTATATGTTACTACCTCTTTCTCTCTTGCTGCCTTTAGGATTCTCTGTTTGTCTTTGACATTTGCCATTTTAACGATGATGTGTCTTGGAGTGGGCCTCATTGGGTTCCTCTTGAATGGACCCTCTGTGCTTCCTGGACTTGTGTGCCTTTTTCTCTCCTCAAATTAGGGAAGTTTACCATCATTACTTTTTCAAACAGGTTCTCTATCTCTTCCTCATCCTCTTTTCCTTCTGGTATCCTTATTATAAAGATATTATTACATTTCAGGTTGTCCTGCATTTCCCTAAATGCCTCTTCATTCTTCTTTAGTCTTTTTTCATTTTCTTGTTCTCTCTGGGAGCTTTTTTCTACCTTGTCCTCCAGCTCACTGATTCAATCCTTGGCTTCATCGAGGCTGCTTTTGATTCCTTCTACTGTGTTCTTCAATTCAGAAATTGTATTCTTCATTTCCTCTTGTCTTTTATTGATCATTTCTATGTCCTTTTTCATGGTAATATAGTTTGCAGTAAGTTCCTCATAGTTTCTCTGTAGTTTTTTGTAATTCTCTCTGAGTTCACTGAGCTCATTGAGCTTCCTTAGAACCATTGTTTGGAACTCAGTATCTGATAGTTTACTTGCCTCTATTTCATTTAGTTCTCTTTGTGTGCATTCCTCCTTTCCCTTCAAGTGGGGGGTATTTCTTTGTCTTCCCATTATTTGTGAGACTCTCCTTTTAGCTTCTGCTTCTTAAGTTGATCTGTCTTGATTTCCTGACTTTGTGGAGTGAATTTCTATGGTTGGAGACCACTGTTTTTACTTTCTGGATCTGCCTCCAGTGAATTTAATGGCCTGCCATTCTTCCTAGTTTATGTTACAATTTCTTTGCTACAATTTTTATTGCTTTCAAATATATTCTTGCTACAGAAAATCATGTTAAACTAAATAATGCTTTTAAAATTCAGCAATTTCTAAGGCACGCTACTTAAGTAACACAAATAGAGAGACATATGGAATGCTTTGCAAACTCTTCATTATAAATAATTTCTTGAATTTGGAAGGCAGTTTATACTTTTCACAAGGCTTTCCAACCTGGTACATTGCTAACAGGTAAGGCAGAGAAGGTTTGCATTAGTCCCACTTGGTCAGTGAGGGAACTTGGAAACTTGGAGGTTAGGAGTCCTCACTGAGGGCACATGGTAATTAACAGGTGGAGCTGGGACTAAAGTCTCCTCTACTCTCCTAATATTCTTATAATGAAGTCTTAGCAGAGGCAAGACTTAACTCATGCCTTTTAATTCCTAAGCCTTCTCTTATTCCTATGACAGGCTGGTGGATGGTAGATCCCAATACTTTTTGCCCCTTCCTTCTGGCCCTACTCCATGGCTGTTTATACAGTTCATACATCGTTGGCCTGTTGGGGAGGTACGGTCTAATGAATAGATATGTATATATACTTCCTATTTAATGAATGAATATATATATACTTCCTATTTAATGTGTACAAACACCTGTTTAACAGAAACATTTTCTAAAATTTTCTTGCAGTAATCTACTTTAGGCCCAAGGCAAAAGGAAAGAGAATATTAACAACTGTCTAGGCAAATTAGTTAAAAATCTTAATAGGTCTCCGATATGCTATGTAAAAATCACTTAAACAAATCACTAATTTCCAAATGTCCCTCTCTATTTTAACTTCATAGGAAAAAAAGCATAACATAACCCTTTTAAATTCACGTTTGACAGATTTAGACATAGCCTAACATTGAAAAAAATGCTTTAATGTGATGATATTTATTACACTTGAAAAAATTAAAAAATAAGGAACGATTTAAATTAAGCTGAATTTCCTCAAGGAGCAAAATAGCACACCCCATATACACAACAAGCAAAATAAACTGAGACCCAAAAGTCAAACATACATGGATCCACCCCAGAGTGAGGAGATCGTGCTGATCCTGAACACAGAATAGTTCTTCCACGTTCTCCATGTCGCAGTAGTCTGGTCCTGCGGACTGCTTTGGCACAATTACGTGGGTAATAGTAAACTCGTTATGTGTCTGAAAAACAATTAGCAAAAATAATTATCTAATGACAGAGGAGGGAAAAGGATCTGGCAGAAAAAAAATACACATAATCCTGAGTTTTGTGCCCCGTTACTTACATCATCATCTTCCCATCCCCACCACCATTCAAAAACAAAGTACTAAATTAGAAAATGGATTCTTTGCCAAAAATATGAGTCAGCATTTTTGTACTTGAAACCCATTTTTACAATAGAAAATGTACCATAGATAGGAATTAGCATCCCAGGCTGGTCCATGGCAGTTTAGTCAATAAATAGTGTTTTGATATATTACATCTGTAATGGAAAAATCAGAACAAAATGATAGGTTTATTTGGAGGGGGAAATGCTAGTTCAATAATTTTGTGGTGTTGCTGGAGGGCATTGCTAAAGGTTTTTGGAAGTTGATGGTCTTGTTTTTATTTTAACTATATTCGATTTCACTTCAAGACTTACAACTTTTTTCTGCTACTGAGGGGACTTGCTAGGATTTTCCATAATTAAGATAATCTTTTGGATTTGCAATAAGATCAAGAGAAAGCTAAAATAAATTAGCCCCTTCAAGTAAAAGAGTTGAAAGGAAGGGGCTGTGAAGCAGTGGTAGGAACCACAGACAATATGTTTGTGTTGTATGTAGCTGTCCAACCCAAAGAGGGTCCTAGAAACCAAAGAGGGCTTTGCTACAAACTGGGCACTTTTCCTTCTGCCTTCATTACAACTCTTCTTGCCAACCCAGCCCCTCATTCATGGCTAACTTTATGTATTCTTCAGGCCTAGAGTAAACATCACTCCTTGGGGAAGCCCTTCAAGGCCCTCCCAAACAAGGTTAGTTTCCTAGTTACACATTCCCATGATCCTGCACTTCCACTAAGAGCACCCAGCCCCGTTTATAGTTAATTATCTGTCTGGGTCTTTACAAGCATCAGGTAAGCGTCATGTGCCAGAGGCTGTGGCCTTTTTGGACTACTCAATGCCAACACCTAGAAGAGGTACTCAGTAAATATTTGTCTGAGGAAGGCAGGAAGGAAAGAAGGGAGGGAAGGAAGGAGGGAAAGAGGGAGCAAAAGAGGGAGGAATAAATGGAGGAAGGAATTAAACTAAATACAACGTGTGGTCCTGGGGAGGAAGCATCAGTAGCACACTGCCCTCTGGAGGACAAATATGGTGGCTGTGGGAGGAGAGGGCAGGCTGTTCTCCTGTGCTAGTTATTTGTGCTTCTTCTCCAGCGGGAAAAGGGATGATGCAACATTGGAATATAGTAGGAGAATGTGTGTTGAATAAAACATATTACGTATTCAATTAACCAACAGTTTCTGAGCTAAATGTTAATGACTAAAAATGCTCCTGGACCCAGAAATACAAACTTAGACTCAAAGAGACTAACAAAGGACACTTCCAATGAAATTCATCTTTCTTGCAAGTAGATAATGAAATGCATTTTCTTTTTTATTTCCTTATATTCTGACACTGGCTTTCATCACATATTTCTGATAAAATCTTCCATACCTCAATATGATCTGTGCCATAAGATTTCAGTTGCTGAAATGATTGCCTTAAAGAAAACAACAAAACCCTAGTTGTATTCCACATGTATATGGTAAAGGGTGGTAAGAAGATACCTCCCACAGATAAAATCAGGTAGAGTTCATTGTATAAATGTATGTGAAACTAAACTGCAACAAAAGTTTGTCTTAGAAAACCAGACGGTTTTGAAAATCTAAAAACCTACAATCCCTGAAATCTTATCATCCATTTTCTAGAAAAACAATTCATGAATAATGATAATAGTTTTAAGAAATTAATCTATGTAAAATCAATTTCATAATGTTCACAACTCTTCGGTTGCTTTTATTCTACTCTGCTTAATGACAAGAATATCAGTACCTTTGAAAATTTCCCATGCAAAGACATGAAACAAAGACCGTACCAGTTTTCCACACAGTATCCCACAGGTTTCTATTCCTCTCACTGTATTAGATTCTGCCAGCTGCAGAAATTTGTGGCAAAGATCTCTTGATAAAACTACACATCGCAGTCCTTCAACCACTAAATCTAAGAAAGAGAAAAGGGAGAAGAAGCTAAAAATCAAATCTTATACCCCATCTTTCAAAACTGTTTTTGGCAAGCAACTGCAAATAAATATCAAAAATGAAATGACCAGATGCCCCACTTTCCATGTGTTAGTTTGAAACTCTTAAAAGTAACCATGGACTAGAAGAAAGGTAAAATTACCTGTTGCATCTAAGTTATTTCATAAACGAGTGGCAAAGTGCAAGCACTTTAACCTCCTCATGCCCTAGATCAAATATTTACATGTATGCATGGGTATTCTTTTGGCACAAAGCAAATATACTGTTAAGCACAAAGGCTGCATCAGCTACCTCTCATATCCTATAAGACACAAGATGAATGTTCTTTATTGTGTTTCCCATGTTACTTATATCTTTATGAAAATTGGTGATAGTTAAGTAAATAGATGATGTTTTCAAAAATAATTGGCAGTAATTTATTAAATGGTTGCCTATCATGATTTTTTAAAAATAAATGGAAACACAAACTCCACCTGACAGTGTCTGCCAGAAAGAATTCCCTTTAAGCCTGAAAACTTGTACTAAGCAGCACTAACTGTTGTGAGAAACACATAATCCGCCTGAGGGTTAACTACCCCTGTGCAGGTCTTCCTGGCCCCAGGATATGCTAGCCATTTAAATTCAAATTGCCAAGCAAAGTTCTGGACAAGCAAGTTTCTCAATATAGTCTTTCATCTCCAGTATAAGTGTTTAAGATTCATGTTTCTCGGTTTAAATGCATCAAAGAAAAAAATAAGCTTGGAATTCTAGCCTTTTAAAATCTCTGCACCATAACCAAATACAGTCCCGTTTATTAGAGTCTCTGCTCTATCAGGGGCAAATCATGAAATCGTGTCTCCTGAATTTTCAGGCTACATATAGTACAAGCCATATGGTATAGAAAGATTAGCTCTATCTACATGTACATATCATGGAGAGGGGTCCTATTACAATTGATAATGAAATGAGGACCACCCCCCTCAAGATGTTCCAGAAATACGGCTCCACTGGAAGAGATTCAATGTCCCACAGGGACGTATTTCATCACTTACTCTGAACAGCACTTAGAGTAGCAGCTGGCTTTAAGGCCCTGTTGACCGGAGGAGAGTGGCTAGTATAATTGGTTACATCACTTTTATGTGGTTGATCCGCAAATACATTCAGCAAGGAATTGTTTTGGTGGGTGGGGAAGCAGGACAAAGCATTCCCATCAATCTGGTCGCACAGCCCTGGGGTTTCCTGGCTTCGCATCTGACCTCGGGCTAATTCTTGCTTTTTCAGTTGATCTTCAAAAAACAGAAACTGTTCCGTTTCTAGCTGTTGCTGGCGCATCTGAGCGATCCGCTTCCTTTCTGCCTCTATCAATCGCTGATGTTCCCAGTTTTTGAGAAATTCGGCTTTACCCAGTTTGTTCTGCCAAAATGTGGTTGCCAGAACAAAAGGTTAGTTTCCAAGGCAAGAACATCAAATGGGGATTAGACACATTCAATCTTCCAGCAGACAGAGACACAGCTAGATCCACTGATGTGCCCGTGGGGCATTCATGTGACAGTGAGGAAAATATATAGTGTGGAGGCAAAAGCCCCTTAACCTGATTTGGGCAGTAGTTCTAAATCCACTCATATTTTACCAGAGATAGGCCATGACAATCAAGTTCGCTCCATTCCCCTGCACTTTCAAATACTAGAAAATCAAGGTCAGGACAGTCTGCTCAGCCTGACCGACCAAACCATGTGGAACAAAATACCTCATAAAATGCGCTGTCCAATATTGTCGCCTCTAGCCATAGCGGCTATTTAAATTTAAATATATTAAAAGTAAATGAATTTTAATCTTCATTCTGGTCCTCAATCCCGCTAGCCACATTTGAAGTACCGTGTGGCCTGTGGCTCCCATATCAGGGAGTGCCACATGGGACGTCCCCATTATCCCAGGCAGGTCTATTGGCCAGTGCTGCCCTAGAGCCCCTTGCATTTGGCTCTAGAACTCATACTGCTGCAACTGGGTGGAGAAGGCGGATCACCAAGGAACAGTTCTCAAAATGGGTCCAGTCGTCTCTAGTACAACCAACCAGGACTTTCGTTAAAAATGAAGATTCCTAAGCTCCTCGGTTTTATAGCCAGGCATTACTAGGCAAGAAAACATAAATTTTTAATAAGCTCTCCAAATGATTTTATGAAAACTAGGCTTTGAGAGCTACTGTGAGGTGGTGGTGGAGGGGGGAGGGGCAAGCTTCCAGCGGCACATGCATGCCTACATGGTCATCCAGGGTCCTATTAGAGGGCAAATTCTGCATTTCTAACAAGCTCCCAGGTAATACTGGTGCGGCCTGCCTGTAGCAAGGGCTTACCAGTGTGTCTGCTCATCTCTCCTGGGCATAAAGGCTGCCGCGCTACCTCCCCTAAGATTTCTACATGTCATACACATGGGAGGCTACTACTGCGGCCTGCGAAGTAACTGGTATTGCCAAAGGCCGACCATGCAGCAGCTGCTGGGGCTGTTCCGCCAAGGGATTCCTGAGGGGACATCCAGATCCACTGCTGAATATGGAAGGGAGACGTAACCGGCCTTTTCTCTCCCTTGCTGTTGCTTTGTCTGAGCCTCCAGAATCATTTTTCTCTTTCACAGTTCACAGCAAATCATCAATATCCACACTTGAGGGAATCTTCTGATTTCAACATTTCCTCTGTCACTTTGTCAGAACACTTCACTCAAACCTGACTTTTGGCTAGGCCTGGGGAAGTAAAGCTCGGTGACTATGTTCAGGGTTAACTGAAGTCAATAAAAGTGACAACTTCCAGAGCACATAAACACAAAAAGCAAAACAACCTTATAATAAAGCTGAAAACATTAAGAATGAATGCTTTAAACCTGAGTATCTATACACTGGCCAATTTCTTCTTTCAAATGCCTTTCAGTCTCTTATTATGATCATCTTCACTCTTTATTTAATAAGAATCCAGAAACCATCAACCCTGGGTGACATGATCACATTTCACTCATATAATTATCATTCTACCTCGATGAAATATTGACTGTGATATGTAAGAATCAAATTCACATTTCCAAAGCCCACAAATTAGATTCATCAGAAACCATATACTGTTCTCCCTACCTCCTACTACCTCCACCTGGCTCAGGGTTACATTGGCAAGAGCTGGTCAAAAAGCTCTGGAAATCATCGTAGGAAATCTATTTTCTAATGCATCACTTTATCAGATGTTGTAGGGAAATAAAAACACCACATCTTTTGTGCAAGTGCTTAACCTGACATCAACATGAATTTTTTATTGGTGTTACATCACTGCATCTTTAATTTTTAATTTAAATGCATATGACACTTTAAAAACTCACATGAAAATGAAGTTCAAAAATATACTGCACAGAAAAATCATGAAATAAATGTATCAATTGAACTTACTTTGCCTTGCATATATTCTTGGTATTCTATGTTATATTTCTTTAAAAGGTCCTTTTTCAATTCATCTGTCCTTGGAAATGCAATCTCCTTCAGTTTCTTTTAAAAATATGCATACATATTGATTAGTGGGATTTTCAGTATAGTCTTTCATATCATCAGCTGAGAAAGAAAAACAGCTGGAATGCATATTAGAAATCAAGACACAAATAACCAAAGATGATGGAAAAAGAAATCTCTCTTTTCTAGTACTCCAAAATATAACTTCTCAGGAGAGAAAAGAAGAAATTATCCCCTTTGAAATGCTTATCTGCATTTTGTTTATAGGTACCCCATTTTTAGGTAATGGGTTTGTAACTGCACATTCCACAGTATATTAATGATACGTTGTCATAGTTAGAAGTGACACCAGAGAACATGGTAGATGAGGACTGCTACATTTGACAAATTATAAAATGTACTCAGAAACTTTTCATAAAAATATAGATTCCCAGGCCTACCTAATTGCAGATTTACTAACTCAACCTCTCTATTGGAAGGGAAGGGGGTGGGGAATCTGGATCTCAAACAACTTCCCGGTGATTCGCAATGGCTGAGAAATCTGATATAGTCCAAGCACAATCACCCTCCTCCATCTTTTTAGAGATGAGGAAACAAAGGCCTAGAGAAATAAAAAGGCTCGTCCAGCATCATACAACTAGATAGTGGTCCCATTATGACTAGAATACAAATCTCCTGGCTTTAGCCAGGCCCTTCCACTAAAACTTCTGTTCTCTTAATCTTTTGTTATCCATCTATCCATCCATCCATTTATTCAACAAGCATAAACAAAGAAAATGTTCATGCGTTTGGAGGATTTTTTCTACAAGTGAAAACATGAGTAACCCTGCACCAGGGTAAATGAGTTACATCGGCAGCCTGAGACTTTTATTTCCTATACAGAACTCCCTGAGGTTGAATGAACAAGAGAATTGAGGGAAAAAGCTACACAAAGGCATGGAAATGAATGACCCTTCAGATACGTGTGTATAGAAATTTTTTAAAAATGCAGACAACCATTTGACAAAATTTGAGTTCTGATTAAAGGCAGCCTTAGGCCCTACGTAACTGGTAAGAGAGCCTTTATTCCCTTAATGACAAAATACCTTTTGAGAGTTATTTAAAATTTCATGCTGTGACTAGCTTTGTATATACTGTTATCTTTCTTCATGGAAGATCAACTTAAACCACTTAAGACCAATGCATAAAAAACATTTTTTAAATGTTATTTAAAAGGATACAGTCTCAGCTAATGATATTTGAAAGTATGTATGTTACAAATGTTGGTGAGGAATAAGTACATTTCAACAATCTTCCTTTTCCTTGAGAATAAATATTTCAGGCCACCCCACAAACATTGTATTATCTATTAGACCAGTAACTTAATAATCAACAGTGATTTTCAAATAGTTTTGGGGTTCAGGACTGCATGAAATAATTAAAACCAGCCAAAATGGTGGTTTCAAACAAGTATGGAGACATAGGTAGCCATTCTCTCAATCTCTGGGAGGAATGGTGAAATAAATCCTTCTTCACTCTGTGAAGTGACTGAGCACACTCTTGATCTCTGTCTTTACTTCCCCTTCCCTTGCCCCAGTTTCACTCAGACATCCCACACTGGCTCAGTAATGATGATTAAAGGTCTAAGAGGAAATCGAAACATCATGGCTAATGGACTAAATTTTCGTGCTTAATCACTCAAGAGGATGAGACAGAGGAGGAAAGGAAGGAGGTATGAACCAATAATGGATACTTGTGGGGCATTTGATCCCGCAGGGGAGAATCCACCCCACAATACCTTCATAATGTCCTGCTTTTCGGGTACTGCACATTGCTGGTAATCTCGATGGCTGGGAAGCTTTTCTACAAACAAGCTAGAGAAGGAGAAGTATGTCCTTAGCATGATATGGCAGAAAAAGCTCAATGATGTTTTCTTCTATGACAATGAGGCTCCTTTTCAAAAGGACATTTAAATAAGTTACTATTTCACCTATATTCATTTCATCTGCCTTTCCATCCAATGCTAGCACTGAGTGTGACTTTGGCATCACAGGGTAGTTAAACTCAGTAAACTAGGCACTGAGGTTACGAGGGTCAGGGTGCTCCCTAAACAGATGAAGCCACTTCAGTTGTCCTCAGGTCTTGGGTACTTAGTCCCACCACAGCACCATCTTACGTATGTGTGTAGCTGGCAACACAGAGAACCACATAAAAATGTAAGAGTTTGGAAAGATCAACCTAATTCCTTCTCACAACTGATAGACACTCAAAGACCACTGATGAATCAGTAGTGCCATGGTGTATATATCTTAACTGAAAATTTGTAACTAAGAGAAATGACAGCAGATATCCCTAGTGGATGAGGTGCTAGTTAGGAGTATTTTTTAATTGCCTTTTTAAGGAACAAGGGACAGGAGAAGTAAAGGGAAAGCCTTAGAGCAAACCGGGTGTACCACCTCCAGGTAAAGAGAAGAATAATGCTTCTACAAGATATCATTTCCATTGGATTTTCTTACTGATGTATCTCCAGCCTACAGAATAGTGTCCAGCTCACAATAACTGCTCAATAAATATTTGTTAAGTGAATGAATGACCCTTCACTGATAGATTGTGATGGCTATAAATACTATTTTTGATCAAATAATATGTTACCTTATAATTACCAGTGTTCTATTGTTTACAAAGCACACATGCATTCAGTTTCATCTATAGGGTATATTGGAATGGTATCTTAGCTCTCATTTCTCAAATAAGAAAATTAAGGCTTAAAGAGGCTACATAAATCATTACTTGCCTAAGTCTTTTTACATAGAACAAAGTCACAAACATTTTGAATTAAAGAGACCTCAGAGATAGTCATCCACAAGTCATTTGTAGATAAGTAACCGAGGACCATGGAAGTAAGTGAATTATAAATTATCACATGGTTAATGAGAGAAAAGAATTCAAATATTCTGATTAGTCAGTAATCACTTACGATTCCATTGGAATGTATGCAAAACTCGGGCAGAAAGTGAAAAAAATATTATCAATTGGTAACTTACACTAGTTACAAAATTAAAATTTTTGGAAAACATCGTATCAATGGCAATTGATAAATTCCAAGTTAATATTTATTGTTTAGCTTTCTAGAAACAATCGATTTTCCCAGGTAGGCCGAATATTGCCAACCACTGACTTTTCAAATGTTCTCAAGTTACATCCCTAAATGAACTAGTGAAATTAACAAGTGACTTTCAATTAAAAAAAAAAAGGTTTCGGCTTAGATTAAATTAATTATTGGTAACAGATCTTCCCAACCAGTAAGATGGTAAATTGATAAGGAAAATCCAAATCTCATTTCTGCTAAGTCAAACTAGGATATGTTACTAACAATACCTATCTAATGGGAAGTATGCTATTTTCACATGTCTGCTTTGAGGTAGCCAGTTTCCCTCAACATTTTGCAAGCTCCTGTATACACAGCATTATGACACAGCTAAATAAATTGCTTAAAAATAAAAAAATTACAACGTGAAACTGACAGCTGCAGTCTCTTCCTGAACCAGATCCCTACAACTGCCAAATCATCCCCCAGTTTCACCCCATCAAACATTTTTAAAATGTGAACGGCAAGTTCCAGGTGCTGCGGATGGAGCTGTAATATGGCGCCTGCTCTCATAAAGCTTACACATTGAATGAATTTTAAAACCTACACATTGAATGTTTGCAGGTTGTAAAATCGGTCTGAGCACGAAAACATTCCTGGCATGCAAACTGTCTCACCAAGATATCATGCCAATATTTTTCCAATTTTCTCATTACAAAGACTTACGTTATAAACTTATTATAAAGAACATAGGCGTTTTCCAAGTTTCCTTCTTCCAGATACACAGAGGCCATCCTCTCCATTTCTACCCCGGATCTGAAGTAGCGGCGCGGGGTGATATCTTCATTGATGGAGATATTGCATCCAAGCTTGCTTAGGGCTCGGACGCGCTCCTCCGGGCTGAGGGAAACATCTGTGTGGTCAGGCATGGCAGCTAACTTTTTCTGCAAAGCAGAATTTGAACCTCTGATTATAGGAAGAAATGAACCTGACTGAAATTATGGATGTATTATCTGTAATAAATACCTGGCATCAATATTTAAGGAAAGCTTTTCCTAAGAGTTAATAAGATTATAAAAGCAAAGTCTTTTTGCTTCAACATGTGATCTAAACACAGAAAGGCACAGATCTACAGAAAAAAAACCATATTTTTATTGAGGGGAGATCTCTTTCAGGGTTTAGAGTAAAATTATGTGGCAGTTCCTGGCATGCCAATATTTTACATCATATTAAGTAAAATATCACAGACTCTTTTTCCTCATGGATGTTTTTCCACCCTGGGCCATGTGAAGCAGACTAAGAGAGGGATTCTTGCCAGGGTAGGACTCATGTCATTCAACTCTGAAGGGTCTCTAAGAGAAGTTTGGATTCAAGTTTATCATAAGAATTCAACTCTCTTCCAGAATACACCTAATTTAATAAGAAGGTTTCAGCCCTGGCTGGGTAGCTCAGTTGGTTAGAGTATTGTTTGGATATGCTAATGTTTCGGGTTTGATCCCAGGTCAGGAAACATACAATCAACCCATGAATGCATAAATAAGTGGAACAACAAATCAATGTTTCTTTCTCTCTCTCTCTCTCTCTCTAAATATCAATCAATACTTTTTTTTTAAGAAGCTTTTAGGGCCTCCCTGCATCTTCACCAAGTGAACAAAACTCCACAGATAAGTCCTGGAGAATCCCTTTCAAGCATATGGACACTTCCCATTTTTTTAAGCATTAAAAAACCCGTAGAACTCCACATAATAGTAATTATACTAATTTATCCCTGACTGCAAAAATAGTGATAATAATTACTAAGATAAAGTCAGTGATATTAATAGATTTGTATTTTATTAATAAAAACAGCATCTGCACACATTTGGAAAAGCACAAGACATATACATTCAAGGTAATTATTCAATTAAAAAATCAGTGCTTCAGAAAGGCAAAAAAACTAACTTTTTCCGTGTGTGTTGTTGTTGCTTTTTTTCTGTGAAAGGCCATGCAGTAAATATTTTAGGCTTTGCAGGCCACATGGTCTCTGTCTCAGCTATTCCGCTCTGCTGGTGTGAAAGCAGCCACCATAATTAACAAAATGATCCTGGCTGTGATCCAAATTTTCATTTACAAGAATGAGCAGATGAATTTGACCCTCATATCATAGTGTGCTGACCCATGCTTTAGATACGTGCTTCTCAAAGTGTGGTCCCTGGACCAGCAGCAAGCGCATCAACTGAGCCTCTCAAAAAGGCAAATTCCTAACAGGCCTCACCTCCAATCAACAGACTCGATGTCTCCGGAGATTGGCTGGAAGTTTTAGCTGGCTTCCCAGAGGCACTACTGTCTTTTGATGCACGAAGAATGGAGTTAGCCCAGAACAAATACAACTTCCCAAGTCCCCCCTCAGGCTCTCAGAGTAGGTTGGCAGTCTGATTACAGTGTGGGCGGATCATTTGATTAAGGTCAGTAGAAAATTAAAACAAGAAATCAAGGTAGACATAATTTTAGTCTGGCCATAAATTACTGAACCAGCCTTCAGGGGCAGGGTGTAGTGAATTAGATACCTGCAGTTTTTCCAATGCCATCTGGTCTACTTTGGTGGTAATTTTATGGCAGATGGAACCCTAGAGATTTGGAATGACTCTAGGTTTAATATATAACCAGAGAGTCATAACCGTGTTTCTTAAGGCCCCAGGAGCTTAAAAGCAGGCCGTGCCTCCTGTACCTTCCATCACTTTTTGGACCGGGCCTATGGTAGTGTGGGTGAGTTTCTTCCTCCCCGTTGTGTTTTCCCGAAGGAAGCTCTCAGAGCCCCGGTTTCCCGCCCCCAAAGGTCTCCAGGTATCTCTCTCCTGTGACTGGTTAGGGAAGCCAGTTCAATTTAGACCAGAAGGGATAAGAAGACTTACCAGTCAGTCTCCCATGTTCTTGGGGTCCGAAGAACAAGGAATAAAGGGTACACTTGACTATGATCCTTCCCTGGCATCTTAAATCTATTTTCACTTGGTCCAGAATTCTGAAATCAGGGCGTTGTGACTGGCAGCAACACCAACCCTTGGACCTTCTCTAAGTGACTTCCTCTTAAATTAACATACGCTTCCTTCTATCCAACCCTGAGGTGCCGCTCTTCTAATTCTCTGGAAGACATTCTAATTCTAGAGACATTGTTGGAGGGCTTTTCCACATCAGAGGCAGGGATCAGAGCTTGCGAACTCCGAGGCTCAGGCCTGACTGTACACCATCTTTTCCAACTGGGAAGTCTCAGACACCGCAGCAACGTCTCCAAGTTTCCCCAGTCACAGTCCCCTGTAGAGCTCAACAGCGCTCAACAAAAATACTTTTATTCAACCATAGATAAATGCTTCAACAACATCAGAAAATGACTAGAAAAAAAAACCCTACGAAAATTAGGAGATTTTCTGAAGGGGGCTTCTAGCCTCCTGTATATATAAAAATAACCTGTCCATTTTTTATTACAATACAGTCCACACTAAGTTATATTTATTTGTGTACAAGTGTTTTTAGTTTCTTATGAACTCCTTGAAGGAAAGGAATAATTTTTCATTCATCCCTGCTGTTTAGTTGTGTTTAGCACATTCCTTACAGGGTAATTGATAATCGATAAATGTACCAAATAAATGAGAAAAAGAGAAAGGAAGCAACATGATTATAATTAGATTCTTTTTATTGGAAGATAAAAGATTTATCTTTCCTTTACTGAATAGTCCTATCCTTTCCAAATTTAAAATTAATTACAGAGAAAACTGGGAAATAGTCTAAACCTTCATCAATCTATGTTTCATTTGCATGCCAGGTTCTTCGATGAAAATACACAATTTCCAGAGGAAAAAGCTATAGTGTTCATTTTTACATTGACTGTCCACTAAAATTTTAATTATTCCTACACGTGTTCTAAAAAACCACAAAAGTCACTCTGTCAGGGTGATTCTTTCCTCCGCACGAGGAGAAATGGGGCAGCCTTATTAGTCCACAACATGAGGTTAGAGAGTGAAAAAGTTCCTACAATTCTCTCCCCTTCGATCACACTCTCAAAGCAACTGAGCTTTTGAGAAGGACATCCTTGAAAGAGAGACAACACTGGGTCCTAACCTATTTCAGAGGAAGCAGAGAAAGCACCAGATCCTCTCTCTCTTTTCGTTCAGGTGCTAAGCTTTGCGTGTCGAGGGAATTCAGTACACTGCTCTCAGGGCTGCCCGAAGGGCGGCCGTGAGGGGGCTGGGGAGCGTCAGGAGGAGGAGGGTAGTGGTAACGATAGCTTCCATTTATCAAGCCCCCTCGATAGGCTGAGAGCATTAAAAATTTTGTTTCCAATTGTCATAAGGCACAGAGTGCAAACACAGGACCATGGAGATTATGTAATGTGCCTATATTCTCACTCCAAGACTGATCTGGGGCGCAGAATAAGCTCATGTGATCCCAAGGTGCCTGTTATTTCCTCTCCAGCACATTGCTTCCTCTAAGAGTCAGCTAGAGATGCATGCACCGTGTTGGGCTGAAAGAGAAAAAGTGAAAAAAAACCCCAACAAACCCAAGAGTTTGAAGTATGCAGACATGTACACAAGACCCCAAAGCAACCTTTGGGTGTTAAATATAAAATGTTTTTCTCAGTCATTACCACAAGGGAGCCTCCAATTTTCACCTGTAATGAACCTGAGGCACACAGGGGAGGTAGACAGACCTGCTACAAAGTCAACTCTGAAATTCTTCTCTCCAGTGTTCTCCTAAAGGACTACGCTCCTGGACTCTAACAAGATAAGTCAACATTTCACACTCTTGTGGAAACAAGTTTATTTTTAACTCAAGCAAAAATGGCTTTATTAGTTACTTCCTCAAAGGAGAACACCACACAGATGAAAAACGACGAGCGTTAAGCTTCTCGAAGCAACTGCAATTGATTTCACGCTTGGTTTGTTTCTGTTCTCCTTTTTGGGTTTTCTAACCATGTGTAAAATATCAGTTGGTGCTACCTACCAGGGAATTCACAGTAAATGGCTGATCCATGGTGTCCTGTGTACAGAGTGAAGGTGGTCACTGTTTCTTCTCAATCACTTCATCTGTTTCAAAGACAAAAAATGCAGAGCTTGGGTTATTTTTTTTAAGAACCCCAGTCTCAAGTTGTAAGCCCCAGGGTTATTTGTGCCTCAGAAGAATATGAACAAATTGAAATAACTTTAATAATCTCTGGGGTTTTTTGTTGTTGTTGTTTGTTTGTTTTAGAGAGGCTATTGGAAATAACTTCCTGGAAATACAAAACTGCAGGTGGTTTTGGTTTCTTAAAAGCGGAGGTGTGATGAGAATTAATTATGGCCTAGCACCCAGAATGAATCTGCTGGGTGTTATCTTACTTAGAACTCTTTGCAAGGCTATTAAGTAGGATTACTGTCTTCAAAGTGAGAACGATCACAGTGATTAAGAGCGTGGACTCGAGAACCATGGACTCTAAGACCTGGAGTCAGTCTGGGCTAAAACGAAGCCCTCCCATCTCTGGGAGGTAGACTTCTAAGATGACTCTGACTCCTGCCCCTGGGTGTCCACAGGTTCGTGTACTCCCCTCCCCCTGAGTGTGGACAAGACCTGTAACTGGCATCTAATCCAGAGAATGGAACAAAGGTGATGGGATATTAATCTCATGATTATGTTGTATCATATGGCAAAGATGAATAGACTTCCAGTTGTATTATATGAAGGGTCCTAATCATCTGATGTTACTTTAATCAAAAGGCATAAGCCAGATATGATCACATGAGACATTTCAAGAAGGGAGACTCTCTCCTGCTAGTTTTGAGAAGACTTAGCCACCAAGAGTTCCACAGCTGTGGGAAATGAATCCTGCTGTAACCACGAAAGTTTGGAAGAGGACACCAAGCCTCAGATGAGATCTTTACTCTGGTCGACACCTCCCTTGCTGCCTTATGAGACCCCAAGCTGAAGAGCTAGCTTTCTGTTTCCTGAGTCCTGACCCACAAAACTGTGAGACAGTAAGTGTGTCGTCTTAAGCCATGAAGCTGGTAGTGATCTGTAAAGCGGCAACAGAAAACAAATACACTAATTGTGTGACTGCAGGTCTTTTTCTGTTTATCTGAAAAATGATAAATGCCATGTCATGTAGCTGTGAGAAGGATTAAATGAACATATAAAGCCCTTAGAGTAGTTCCCAGCACACAGTCAATAGTACATGAATGTTAGCTATTATTAGAAAATTTATTTTGCAGTTGAGGGGACTGAGGCTAAGATATGTTAAGTGAATGTACCCAAGTTCAAGCAGTCACTCAAATGTTAAGTCTCTCTCTTCTTTATGCTAACGTAGGTCAAGCTTCACGTCATCATTTCCCACTTCTTCCAAAATTATTTTTGCCTTTTTACTCCATTAATCACAGATGTGATGATGGATACATATCTTCTTAGGTCCTCATTTATAAATTATGGGGGTTAGGCTACATTCTTCCAAATTAGAACGGTCTGTGATTCTAGAAATTCCAGAAGTTGATCATTCAACCCGTCTGTGTTATTTCTTGGCCTGAATCCATGCCTGAAAAATCCTTAGAGGCAAGTCACCTGGCACGTTCTAGTGCTTCTCCTTCATCCTCTCCAGTGAACCCTGGAGATTTAAGCTTGCGGGCTGCAGAAATGCACAGGAAGAAAGTGGCCTGGAGAGAGTCACAGTCACAGTGGAGTTTAAGCCCCAAATTAATTCTGGCACCACTGACGGTAGGCAGTCCCCTTTGGGAAATTGACACTACTCGTTGAGAAGAAATAAAGCAGGAAAAAATAAAGACATTACAAGAGTTAAAGAAGCAGAACAAAGAGGCTTATGGGGAATTTGGAGCTGGGTGGAGAAAGAGAATGGAACAAAGAAATGCTAGTCATTGATTATGGTCTTGCAAAATCTTCTGGGGTTATTCAGATCTTTATACACACACCAAATCATTTAAAAAGTTGGAAACATTAGAACAGTGGTTCTTAAATTTTACTTTATCTAAAAATTACATAAACCTGGGGCTTTTTAAAGATGCAGAGTCCTGGTACTGACCCAAGAGGATTCTGAATCCATCAATTTTAAGCCCACCAATGTGCACTGAGTGTTAGGATGTGGCCTGGGTGATTTTGACGCATGAGGTTTCCAAACAATACTTCACAAGGTACTGCATCTGAGTATGTATCATGCAGGGTTCTTACTTGCAGACAAAGGCGTGGACTCCTGAGTTCAGAGGATAATGGAAAGATCACAATTTCCAGGAAGAACAGTGTATGCTGAGTGTAATTGAAAAATAATAACTTCTTAAAAATTTTTTTTCAGGAAGGCCAGAGAAATCAGGCTTGGAGACTCCCTACCCAGGAAGATCACCCCAAATCACACAGGAGCACCGGTCTGACAGTTTGGGGAGCCTGCATCTTCCACCAGCAACAGCTGCTGCTTCCGTAGAAAGCTTGTGGAGCTACCTCAGTTTCCTCATCTCACTAGTTTCCATTTCACAGTATGAGATGGAAATATATGACTGGCAGAGCCTAAGTCACATGGCTGCGGCCTGGCTGCAGGGATGGCTGAAAACGCAAACATATAGCACTTTCCACTTCCGCAGAAGGTGGTGGGATGTGCCAAGTGAGAAAAGGCAGATTCAGGGCCAGGTGGCCAAAAACAATGGCAAGTGTGCACGAAAAATCAAACAAACTTCTCTGTAATGCACTTCTAAATGTATGAAATATTTAATTTAATGTATCTTAAACACTGAAATTTATTAAATTGCTATAGATGGAAACCAATCACTATTAACTCCCACACATATATTTATTTATAATTCAGAAATAGACAGAAACAAACTCCCCTCAAATCTAAGATGAAAGAAGTTTATAGACTGGTTGGTCAACTTTCTGTTATCATTATTATTTTTACCATTAATTACTCCATGTCAGTGGCCCTGTCTTAATTCTTTTATTTTTAAATCACAAGTCCTAGCATTTATCAGATGCAATATATTACAATTACCAAAATCAACATAAACAAGTTATGTTCTCTTGATCAGTAGCTGTCAAAGTGTAGAAAAGGTTCCCAAGAGCCTATTAGAGGGTGGGTGAGGTCAATATTATTTTTATAATATTACTAAAACATCATTTGCTCCTTCTTTTTTTACCATCAATCTCTCACAATTGTATAGTAGAGATTCCTTGAGGTTTAAGTTCATGCAATGTTTAACTGAATATGTCTACAAATGTATGTTATAGTTTTTAATATGGTAAATATAAATAGATAAAATCCTCATAAACAAAGCTTTTCAGTGTCCTCAGTCATTTTTAATAGTGCAAAAGGGTCTGAAGACCAAAACTGCTGCTCCAGATCTACTATGCAAACCAACACACAAATCAAAACAAAACACAGCATGTTATGTCAATCTAACCAGAAATATAGTGTTCCGGAAGAATGTAAGTAGATATCAAGTGTCACCTTTCATTTGTGTCTGCTAAAATAATTAGAAAACTGAGGGTATAGTAAGAGGTACCTTTCCTCATACAACCTGACACCCACAGTAGCAAAAGCAGCGAACTGCTGTGTATTCTGCAATACTCATTTTCTTTTGCTAACATAAAAATATAATGTTTAGCTGATGCACAGCCATCCAGGTCACACCTACATTTTCCAGCCTCTCTTGGATTTAGGCATGACCATGTCACCAAGCTCTGGCCAATGGGGTATGAACTGAAGCACTGTGGTCAGAGTCTGGATCCTACCTTTTAAAGGAGTGAAGGCCTTTAATGGCCTTCTCTATCCACAAGCTGGAATGCTGCCGCAGAGGTGAGCCATCTTGAGTCACAAGGAGGAGCCACGGCAAAGCCAGAAGAGAAAAGGAGCAATGCCATTTGCTTACACTCAGACCATCATGACAGAGACAAATTTTTACCTTGTCTAACACTTAGCTTTTGTTTAGGCAGCTGGGCCTGTATCCTGACAAATGCAAAAGTTTAACCTAGAAAGGATGATTCAGTGTAGCCTGGGGAGACTCTTGCCAACACTGATGATGAAATACCCATCTCCCGCCATCCCACCTACCTGCCTAAGCACTCGGCCTGCGTGCTGCCTCCCGCCACACCTTTGGCCCAGGTGCAGGGAGAAGCAGACATAAACTACTTCCTCCTTTCCTCCCAGAGCTCACCTGAATCCTGCCCAACCTGTGAGATTCCACATACCCATGTAGAAGTTTCACACTTCTTTAGAATCAGTACCACACAATTCCTCAAATGCAGGAGATATTATAAGCTGTGGCCAAAGGCAACATTTGGTCATCATACATGTTTAATGTGGCTGTTACAGTAAATTTACAAATTTTAAGTTAGTCATCAACATTTAAAAACTGGGAGATTCATATAAAAGTTCAGATTGTAGCTTCCTCTTAAAAACATATTAGAGGATGTGGCACCACTGGGATGCAGTACCTGGTACATTTAATTATTATTATCTTTTATCCTGAGTTTAGAACAGCATCTGCTACTTGATAAAGGCTCAATATGTATTTGTCAAATGAATGAAGAAGCAATTTGAAAAAAATCTGTAGTATACTTTCCAGCACATCCCCAGGCATGTAATAGCAGCTTAGTAAATATTTGGCTCTAGATCTGTGCTAAAATATGTTCCATCAATGCAGCAGCCTTTAAGAACTTACAAGTAGCTCACTTAATTCTCTCAGTACAGGTCTATTCGCTAATTTAATCTCATAGTCACTCAACAAACATCAATTGAACACCTAGAATGAGCCAGGCATTGTTCTAGGTATGTGGAGCATGAATAAAATGGGCCAAGATTTCTGCCCTTGTGGCGTTTACCTTGTACTCGGGATAGACAGATTAATCATAAACCTTTTAAATTGCATAGTAAGTTAGAAAGTCATATGTCTGCTTGAGAAAAGAGTTGGGAGGAGAGTGGTGGGAAAAGAAATCGGAGAGGCAAGGAACGGAAGGAGGCCTTTCAGATTGCCATATGGACTTTCGCTTGTACTTGGAGTGAAATGGGGAGCTATTTAGGGTGTTGATCAAAGGCATGATGTCAATGGTATTGTAATTTACA